ATCATATTGAGAGCTCTTTATTGTTCATCCAGGAGCATATTGCAACTTTTCTTGCCTTTTGAATTATGCTCTCTGTTATTTCCTATATACTACTTCTGGAAGTATTAAAATATTTCAAGTTTGTATAACTAGAAAATCTTATTTTTAGTTTACAAAGGTATGTATAAAATTCAAAGAGAACAGATCTTTTCTTTCAGTCCTTTAATTAATCTAGTTTCTTACACCCTTGGTCCCTTTTTTTCTTTCTAATGTGGAATAAGATGCTATTTAATTTTGTTCTTTCATAGCTAATATTTTTGTGTATATGCTTTAATGATTTTTTTCTTTACAATAACTTATGGACAATTTCATTTTTGTGCATCTTGGTACAATTTTATTTAAATGTCTTTGCAAAAGGTTCATTTTTCTTGGAAATGGGTATTATAAGTTGAACTAAATTCAGAAATTCTAAATCTTTAAATATTCATTGCCTACTCCTTTCTACTTTGAGAATTCTAATTATATGAGTATAAGTTTCTTGGTTTTGACACAGTGAACTATTATGACTGATCCGTAAATTCATTTTTATTTTGGAGAGTTTTTATTGTTATATTCATTTATGTTTGTAAAAAATTTATTTTCAATTTGCAGTCTATTAAAAAACAGAAAAAAAAAAGAATGGGGGTAATGAAAACAAGAGACAAGAAAAAAAATGTCATAGCACTGTCCTGCTACAATGGGGTATATGGTTAGATTTCTAAACTTCTGTGTAAAAATATGTAACTGTTTATTCCTATTTTTTAAAATTTTTTTTATTTTTAAATTTTTTTTCTTTATATTCTGTAGGGACTTAAAGTTTTACATATCAATACTTGATGGAAAATACCTGTTCCATGTTATGCCTAAGATGTTTGATATTCGGACAGATAGTGAGGTTATACTCAACTGCCTATGTTGTAGGGTAATACTAATAAGCTTCTCTTCTGGAGAGTTAACAACCTAAGTTTGCAGACCAAATATTAGAGAAAAAGAAGGGCTTCAAGGACAGCCAGCATTTTGGTCCTAGCCTTTCAAGGTCAGTGAAGACTCAGGACATAGGAGAACCTGTATTGTAACATCCTGTAACTCTGTTGTGTCCCAAATTTTCTGATCAAGGAGATTATAGGGCCACAGAAGAAAGTGATTAATGATGTAGAGTGTGCCTAAGGAGAGTCACATGGAGAGAAAACATTCTCTCAGGCTTTCACAGAGAGCAAATTGGTCAAGCAATGGCCATGAGTCAGCCACATGGCTGACACTCACAAAGATCTATGAACTGCGGTACAGGGTTTCAGGATAAATCCTGAGGGGATTTGACTGATCTTATCAGATATAAAAGTTATATTACTTGTTATATAGGTCTTGCTTTATCTTAGTCTTAACCATCCAGCAGAAAAGTCTAAAAACAAAGTATAAAAAGTAAAGCCCTATTAATATGCTGAGCCATAAAAGGCTCAAGTCAAAAACTTATTTTTTTAAATTTATTTTTTCTTTTTTTGGCGGAACCGGGTATTGAGCTCAGGCCCTTGCACTTGCCAGGCAAGCGTTTGTTCCACTGAACCATCCCCCAGGCCAAGTCAGCAACTTCTGTCATTTCCATTCTTATGGAAAACCCACTACTATTGTGGACTACTAGACTATATTGGAATATTTTGGTGAAATCAGGCACCTACAGTATTTAAATAACAATGGAGTACTCTTTTCTGACAAAACTAAACAAAAGGAGATACAAATGAACAACCATTTTGTATCTGTATGTTCAAAATAGTTAAAATAGATACACAGTTGCATTCTCTTGGATCATTGAATAGAGAGATTTGTTCTAATAGTGTTTGTGGACAGGATAGCATGTCGGCATCTTGTACAATGAATACCCACTAAGACAACAATGTGCAATGTATTAATTATTAAAATTGTGCTAGTAATTGGTTTTGAGACAGTCTCATTGCTACTTGTTTCTCAAAAAATTATTTTTAAAATAACAAAGCAAAATATGATAGACATACAGCTACTTTCTCTTAGTGCAATGAAAGGAAAGATTTGTAATAATAGTATTTAGACAAGATATTATGTCAACATCTTGTACCATGAATTACTACAAACTCAACAATATATAATGTATTAATTAATATAGCTGTCCTACTAACCTGTTCTGAAACTGTCTCATTGCTATTTCTCTCTCAATAAAATTAATTTAAAAAGAAAAAAAAGCAAGTTCAGAACACTAAAGAAAAGGAGTAAGCAGAATAAGTTACACAATATGATGAGTTTGGGATTAAATAGATGAAAAATACACAGAAATCTAAACCAAGAGAGAAAAGACTTCAGGAAGAACCAAAGATAGTCATTGTATATTGTAAGTATAAATAAAATTTTATGATACTTTATGAGAATATCTACATCGAATAGCAATCTAAATGTGTGATATAACAGTATGGGGATAGTAGGAGAGTAGGAAAGGTAAGGATAAGGGGCTATAAGAAGGATAATGAAAAGTCAAGGGAAAGCTTAAAGCTAATATTAAGTAATAGCAGTTTAAGTGTGTTGTTACTTAATGATATGATACTTAATGGGATATAGAAGTATAACAGATATAAAATTTGAGTATCTACAGTTACAAACGTACTGTCTGTCTCTTAGATCAGTATCAGTCTTTGTCATCTTCTTCTTTTGAGGTACTGGGGATGAGCCATATTCCCAGAACTTTATATTTTTATTTTGATAACTTGCCAGTGCCATGCTCCAACTTTGGATCCTCCTGACTCATCTACCCAAAGTACTTGGAATGTGGTCTTATACCACCATGCCCAGTAGATCAGTAGTAATAGGGAGTGAAAATTTAGGAAGGAAGACAAAGAACTGAAATAGGCTATAGATTATTTTTATCCTTATGACATCAAATCTTGTCTTTTTGTTCTGTTGCATCAAAAACTTTCCATTTACTACACTTTTATTTATTTATTTATTTTTATTTTTACATTTTTTTAATTTAGTGTGTGTGTGTGTGTGTGTGTGTGTGTCCAGCTCAGCCCACCAGGGGACAGGGCTGGCTGGCATGTGGTGCTGGGGGATTGAACTGTGGTCCCTGTGCTTTAGCCAAGCTTGTTCCAAGTAGGTGCTTTAGACCACTGAGCCATCTCTCCAGCCCCAATTTACTACACTTTTAAATGGGCTGGGCCCCCAAGTATAAAGGGGGCAAAGTGAACCTGCAGCTTACAGGCTAATCAAAGTTTTATGCCATTTATTTCCCCCTTGCTCTTTTAGATCAGGAGTGTCCCAGGATGACAGAACATGTGCAATGCAAGAATTCCACTCTTCTGGATACCAGTAAAGCAGTAGCAGTAGAGAAGGTGCCAGAGTTTTCAGACCTCTCTGCAATTTTGGGTAAGTTTTTACATTCATTTTTCTATTAGGGCTGGCAAGATAGCTCAGTGGACCAAGTCCCTACTTAGGCAAGCACAGGGACTAGAATTTGGACCACATGCCATGCCAGCTGTGCCCTAGGTGGGCTGAGTTGGCAACAGAGTACAGGTGTGGTGGCACATACCTGTAATCCCAGCACTAGGAGGCTTGAAAACAGGAGAATCACTATGAGTCTGAGTTGCATAGTGAGACCCTGTGCAAAATATATTCAAAAAAAGAAAAACAAAATATTTTTTCTCTTATATGACTTATGAGCCTAAGTTTATAGAACTGGATTGCCTTTGACTATAAATACTGTCTAATAGTTTAAGTATGTATGGATTTGGAGCCATCAGCAGTAAAGACAAGCCAGTATGTATCAGCTATAATTATCAAGGTAGGTGGTCTCAATTCACCAATCAAAATAAACAAATTGACAGGATGGATCAAAATCCAACATTATGCTGCGTTCAAGAAACACATTTAACTCAAAAAGAAATTCATAGACTGAAAGTCAAAGGAGGGAAAATAATACTCTATGTAACAGAAACCCAGAAAAAATTAGGGGTAGCTATTTTAGTTGCAGACAATGTGAACGTCAAGCCAAGACTGATCAAAAGAAATAAAGGTTACTACACACTTATTAAGGGAAAACTCTAAGAAGAGATAATAATTACAAATATATACATACCAACGCAGGTACACTCAACTGTGTATGTATGGACTACATTTGGATAAATTTTAATTTTGAACTAATTTTAAGCTTACAAAAAATTACAAAAATTGGGCCAGCCAAATAGCTCAGAGGATTAAAGCACCTGCTTAGGCACACACAGAGGTTGGAAATTCAATCCCAACCTCCCCTGCTGGTCCCACTCCCAGGGTGCCCTGAGACAGCAGTTGAGACTGGGCGAAACGGCACTTGCAGGTAATCCCAGCACTTGGGAAAGTGAAAATAGGAGAATCACCACAAGTCCAATCTGTGTAGTGAGACCCTGTAGACTCTGTAGACCCTGCATTAAACAAAAAATTTAAAAATTTAAAAAATAGTATAGAAGTTTTCCCTATACCTTTCACCCAGTTTCCCCAATGTTACCTTACATGGTTACATTGGTAATGAGAGTAAACTGTGAACCCTAGAGAGCCTTAAGCAGACCCATGGCCACCCACCTAGTTAGTATCACACCCTGTAAGAAGCAGCATCTGTCACAAGTAAGGCAAGACCCAGCAGCCAAGTATGGCTTGTATCCTTAACACTGTTGACATTGAGCCTGCCAAACTACAGGCAGCCTCATACAGCACCACCTGCTAGTGGGGATGAAAAAGTCCCAAGGAAGGTTTTGGGAATAGTAAAATGGTTTAATATAAAACACTTTTATTAACAGGAATGACACCAAGGAAGAGGTGTTTGTACACCAGGTTGCCATAAATAACACCAGGAAGTATCTTCCCAGTTAGAGAACGGGGAGACTGTGGAGTTCAATGTTGTTGAATGTTATGGTTTGTGTATAGGTGTCCCCCCAAAACTTCAAGCAATCATGGAATGGCTTCTGGAGTTTGTGATTGAATACTGTGGGTGTGCATGCTGCACCTGCCCTGGGGCAGGTAATTTCCATTACAATGTAAGGAGAGAAGGGAGGCTAGCTGCCTGAGCTGCTGCCACTCCCTTTGCTCTGGCTATTTGCTGCCACCATGAATGGTGGTTCTTTGCCATGTACCACTCTGCCTTGAAACCAGCTGAGTATGGACTAAAACCTCCATTAACTGTGAGCTAAATAAACCTTTCCCTTCTTCATTTTGGGTGTCAGGCATTTGTCCCAGCAATGAGAGAAGAATAACTGAAACACTGAAGGAAAAGAGAATACAGAGGCAGCAAATGCTACAGGTCCTGTGACATTCCAGTTCAACGCAATAAATATGCAGCCGACCACAACTGTTATAGATACTATTCATGCTATAGTGACACTCCATACAGTCATCAGCAGAATAACCGGAATAGTAAGAGTAGGGGAAAGAAAGAGGTGTTTCCCTAGTAGCAGGCGAAAACAACTCAGGTCCTATTGCAGGCAAAGATTCCAAGCTTACTACATGTGGAGACTCTATGAGTGTAAACAGTATTCCAATCCTCTTGAGCAGGAGAAGCTGTGGAGGGTACTGACAGCCAAAGGGCAAGAAAACAAGGTAGATCATTGAGAAAGAATATATTTCAGAGTTATAGACCATGATTTCACTGGGGTTCTCCTCCCCAAAGACAGCCTAGAGAGGTTGGCACTGAAGGGGATAAGAAAAAGTCAAGGAGGTGGGATCTAAAATCAGCAGCAACCCCAATGTCCAGCTTCGATTATCAATACAGACACCCAGAAAACCCTGAACCACAAGATCACAAAAGACAAAGAAGCTGATCCATCAGCTGAGAATTCATCTGCTCTAGAAGCTGAGGATGGTGGGACAGAGTAAATGCCCATTAGCATCACCTACTTTAGTTATCCAACAAGAAATAATGAATATGAAATTCTGGCAATAAGAAATGAACAAAAGATTGGAGCTGAAAATCTTAAGCCTTTGGTTGTTGACTAGTTAATTGGGACTATGTGTATTGTCTACATAGCATAGGGCTTTTCTTTTACCTGAAAATGGCTGTTTCTGGTAATGACAATCATGTTTGTTTTTTTTTTTCAGTCAGAAAATTTAATATTAATACAGTGCCAATATCTTTGTGTAGACTTTCAAATCCCACCAACTGGTCAATAAATAATATTGTCTCTCACGCCCCTATTCCAGGCGCCAAGCCAGAATCACACAGTGACTTGACTCTTCTGTCATCCGTCTTCTGTCTCCTTCAATCTGGGTGATTCTTTGGCTATTGTTTGTCTTTTTTTTTTT